TCCAGCATCCATTTCTGATAAAAACGCTCAGCAATGTGGGAATAGAGGGATCATATCTAAACATAATAAAGGTCATATATAAGAGACCTACAGCCAACATCATACTCAATGGGCAAAAACTAAAAGCATTTCCCTTAAGAACAGGAACAAGGCAAGGATGCCCACGTTCGCTTCTTATTTAACATAGTACTGGAAGTCGTTGCTACAGCAATCAGACAGGAAGAAAAAATAAAAGGGATCCAAATTGGAAAGGAGGAAGTGAAACTGTCATTATTTGCAGATGACATGATACTATATGTAGAAAACCCCAAAGACTCCATCAAAAATTTACTAGACTTAATAAATGAATTTGGCAAAGTAGCAGGATACAAAATTAACATCAAGAAATCGATAGCATTCTTATACACCAAGGATGAACTCACAGAAAGAGAAACTAAGAAAACAATACCATTTACCATTGCAGCAAAAAAATTAACATACCTAGAAATAAACTTAACCAAAGAAATAAAGGACCTATTCGCAGAAAACTACAGGTCATTGAAAAAAGAAATAGAGGAAGATATAAAAAAGTGGAAGTACATACTCTGTTCATGGATTGGAAGAATTAACATAATTAAAATTTCCATATTACCCAAAGCAATCTATAGATTCAATGCAATCCCCATCAAAATACCAACGGCGTACTTCACAGAATTAGAACAAGTACTTCAAAAGTTCATATGGAACCAAAAAAGACCCCGAATAGCCACAGCAATCTTGAAAAGGAAGAACAAAGTTGGAGGGATCACATTACCAGATTTCAGCTTATACTACAAAGCCACCGTAATCAAAGCAGCCTGGTACTGGCCCAAGAACAAGCATATAGACCAGTGGAACAGAACAGAGAACCCAGAAATGGACCCAAGGCAATATGCTCAATTAATATTTGACAAAGGTGGCAAGAGCATACAGTGGAGTAAGGACAGCCTCTTTAATAAATGGTGCTGGGGAAACTGGACACCTACATGCAGAAAAATGAAACTAGACCATCAACTTACACCCTACACAAGAATAAACTCAAAATGGATAAAAGACTTAAATGTGACTCATGAATCCATAAAAATCCTAGAAGAACCGTAGGCAATAATTTCTGATACATCACCTAAAGCAATAGAAATAAAGAAGAAAATGAACACATGGGACTACATGAAACTCAAAAGCTTCTCCACAGCAAAAGATACAATCATCAAAACGGAAAGGCTACCCACTGTATGGGAGAGCATAACTGCCAATGATATATCAGATAAGGGGTTAATTTCCAATATATATAGAGTGCTCATACAACTCCACAAAAGGAAGACAAAGAACCCAAGTAAAAATTGGGCAGAGGAACTACATAGACACCTCTCCAAACAGGACATACAAATGGCCAAGAGACATATGAAGAAATGCTTATCATCACTAACCATCAGAGAGATGCAAATTAAAACAACAATGAGGTATCACCTCACACCTGTCAGAATGGCCGCCATCAACAAATCATCAAACAAGTGTTGCCCAGGGTGTGGAGAAAAGGGGACTCTAGTACACTGCTGGTGGGAATGCAGACTGGTGCAGCCACTATGGAAAACAATATGGTGTTACCTCAAAAAATTAAAAATTGAACTTCCATTTGACCCAGTGATCCCACTTCTAGGAATATACCCTAAGAAGCCTGAAACACCAATCAGAAAGAATATATGTACCCCCATGTTTGTAGCAGCACTATTTACAATAGCTAAGATCTGGAAATAGCCCAAGTGTCCATCAGTAGACGAATGGATAAAAAAGCAGTGGTACATATACACAATGGAGTACTACGCAGCTGTAAGAAAGAAAGATCTCTTATCCTTTGAGACTACATGGAGGGACTTGGAAAGTATCATCCTAAGTGAAACAAGCCAAACAGAGAAAGACAAGTATCATACGATCTCACTTATTTGTGGAATATAATAAACATAACAATCTGAGGAATGATGTAGTCCCAGAGACGTGGAAGTGGGGTACAGACTGACAATCCCCAGTAGAGGGGGTAGTGGAGGAGAGATAAACCACAGAACTTATATGCATGTATGCAGGAACAGTGGACATAGATAACAAACTGGGGACAGGGCAGGGAGGGAGGGGGAGGGGGGTATCAGTGGGGGAAAAAGGAGAAACATTTGTAACAAAAATGAATTAATAAAAAATAAAGATTTTTTAAAAAAGAACAGAAATCTTTTAAACACTCCTCTCACTTATTCCCGTATCTCACCTAGACAAATCTCACAAATTTTCTCTCTAAAAATATTTCTTGAATCCATTCATTTCTGTTCAATCTCACAACTGCCATTCTAGTCCAAATATAATTTTCTTCTCATCTTCTACCTCAGACCATTCTCTATAACAATACTTTTCTTTTTGTATTTTTTTAAAAATTTACCTTTATTGTTGGAAGTATTACAGGTGTCACTCTTCCTCCAACCACTGAAAGCCAAATTTGACCAAAATTTACTCACCCTCTCTTCTTCCCCTTACCGCATTCTTTTTTCCTACCTCTTACAAAACTTCGATGAAACCTCATTACTCTCAGGATAAAGCTCTAAAATTCTGAGGATGGTCTTGTTAGAAGGCCCAGGATGGTGGGCCCCTGCCAGCCTTCCCAGTTTTATCTTTTACCCTGTGTTCTCTTTGTATTCCACTATCATTGGGCTTCCTTTCAGTTTCAGTGAAGGCCCATGTGTCTCCCACCTCAGACTTCATACATGTCATTTACTCTTACTGAAAAGGCTCTTTCACCAACTTTTCCTTTGGCTATTACATCAAATACCACATATTTTTAAAAATCTTCTATCATTTCGTGAAAAAGTTAAGTTTTGCTACTATGGCTCTTATAATACCATATATATTCGTTACAGTTACAATTTTACATTTATTCACAATTATTTGATTCCCGTTTGCTGCTTCCGCTAGGGTATAAACACCATAAAGCAGAATCATATATTTTGTTTACCATTTAAATCCTAGTCACAAGTATTATGCCAGGCACACAACAGACTCAAATATTTGCTGAAGTAATAAATGACTGTAAATATGTCTTTAAATTTACTTCATCTTTCCTTGGAGCCAATCTGCCACTGTTATAAAAATATTACATAGAGATGTTTACTACAGTATTAAGTTTTTAGATTATATTCTTAAAATTAACTACAAGAGCCCTGGCCAGTTTGACTCAGCAGTTAGAGCATCGGCCCACGGACCACAGTCCTGGGTTCGGGTCCCGCTAAGAGCATGTATCTTGGTTGCAATTTGTCCCCGGCCCAATTGGGGTCGTGTGGGTGGCAACCCCTTGATGTGTCTCTCTCACTTGATGTTTCTCTCTCTCTCTTCCTCCCTCTCTCCCTTCCACTCTATCTGAAGATTTTAAAAAAATGTCCTCGGGTGAGGATTAAAAAAAATTAATTAAAAATCAAAAATTAACTACAAAACAACATAAAACTTAAACCTCCCTAAAATTAAAACATATATGTCCATTGAAAATCCCAATGGTTTAGGATAAAAAAAAAAGTTTTGAAATCCTCACCTGAAGATATTTTTCCATTGAATTTTAGATAGAATGGAGGGAGGAGAGAGAGAGGGATGTGGGGAGGGAGGGAGGGAGGGAGGGAGGGAGGGAGGGAAGGAGGAGAAGGGGGGGGGGAGAGAGAGAGAGAGAGAGAGAGAGAGAGAGAGAAACATTGACGTGATAGACATCAACTAGCTGCCTCCAGAACCGGGGCCAGGGATATTCTGGAACCTGCAACCCAGGTATATGCCCTTGGACTGGGAATCAAATCCATGACTCTCTGGTCCATGGGCCAATGCTCTATCTGCTGAACTAAACTGGCCAGGGCTAGGATAAATTTATTAAACTAGATAAACCACCTTATAGCTTAATATGAAAAAGTCCCAGAGAAAATCCAAGAAAATTAGGAAAAGTACTGGACTGAATTCAAGAAACTTGCCCCTCCAGATGTTCAAACTTACTAGCCAAACATGTATCACATGTTTGAAACTGCCAAATTATAGACAAATTAATCAGTGGTATAGAAGACAGTGTCTAAGACTAACTACTAAAGTGTGTGGGAAATTAATATATATCAAAGGTAATATTTTAAATCATTTGGTAAAGAATGATTTATTTAATAAACTAGCTTTCTCAGATCTGCTCTACTCCCCTTCTAAATAATGTATTTTCTAATAAAAGTAACATATACATTTATTTTCTAATAAAAATTAGTTGGAATGTGGCATCTCCATGTATAATAATCTGCTATATCTCCAAGCTTTTTCTTCACCATAAGACGGTATTAATTTTCAATGTAATAATTCAAATACACAGAAATCTAATACGTATATATCTTCCGCTGAGTTTTAATAGATATTAGACATTTTGTCATGTTTTCCTGAGACCTTTTTTAAAAAGATAAAACACTCTAGATTAACAATTGAAGCCTGCTATTACTATTGTTGCAGCTGTAATTAAAATGATCAGAACAAGAAGTTTTAAAGACATCTGTGATGGTAATCTTGTATGTCAACTTGGCTGGGCCACAGAACCCAGATATGTTGTCAAACATTATCCTGTATGGTTTTTGTGCAAGTGTTTTTTGGACGAGATTAATATTTAAATCAATAGGCTTCAGAGTTAAGCAAATTACCTTCCATAACGTGGGGAGAGCCTGATGCAATCAATTGAAGGCCTTAATAGAACTAAGATTTCATGGCTCCCTGCATCCTATCCCCAACACACACACCCAGCAAGAAGAAAACCTGTCATCAGACTGCAACTCTCCTGAGTATCGAGCCTATCAGCCTATTCTATCCAATTCTGTACTCAGCCTCCAAAATCACAAAATTACTATTTCCTTAATGAAGTAATTCCTAAATAGTCAAATCATTAAGCTAAAAATTACGTATTTGGGCTGGCAGAAGTCACAACTAAATTTAAGATTTTGAACTACCTTCACTGTCTTCTGGATTTTCTTCTTCATTGGAAGCTTCAATATCTTCATCTTCCTGAGCAGAAACAGTGGAAGCTACACTTTCACATTGAGACACATCTCGCTCTTCACGAGGTTTTCGTGAAGTCTAGAGTAAAAAATAGTAAAATAAATTATTTGATTTAAATAACTAAAAGGAAAGGAACAAACCTTTTCATATCCAAAATCACAGAGAACACTAATACATACACACATACTAAACAAGAAGGCTGCATGTTTAACAACTGCTCTAGGTAACCAGTAACTAGTCTTTTGTGTAGATGAAATCGCTTTCATCAAATTGATCAAAAGTAACATCTGAACAGTATTTTTTAACTACTCACCACGATACATGTACAAGTAGCACGGGTTGCTGACTCAATCCCCCGCAGGGAAGGTGTAGGAGGCAGCCAAAAGATGTTTCTCTCTTACATTGATGTTTCAATCTCTCTCTCTAAAAAATCTGAGTTTGTTTAGCTGCCCCCTTTCCACCTATGTAAAGGCTTGTGGTGAGTTGTGAATTATTATAGGTTTTAAAGATCTCTTCCAAGGATATTTCAATCTTTTATATAGTTCCCTTGCACACAAACACAATGTTCATGGGAAAGATGGTGCTCCACTCTCTGTGCCAGCCCTTTCCTTCTCTGTCTTTGAGTTGGTTCAGTGACCCCCATCACGCTTCCCAGTACCCCACTCTTTCAGGGTCTGTGGCTTTTCCAAGGGCTTGAACCCAGCTGCACAAGGGATTATGAACCGCATGCCCCAGGGCTGGGCCCAACCCATTCTATCATTCTTAATGATTCTCATACTTCTTGGTCTAAGAACACAATACTTTAAAGGTATTCATGACCCTAACAAATTTTTGTTCATGAGTTTTATATATGTATTTACTATATTAAAATAAAAACTAAGAAACACTGAAATTAATTCATTAAAAAACAAACAAACAATAATAGCCCTGGCCAATTTGGCTCAGCGGTTAGAGCATTGGCCCACGGACCAAAGAGTAGTGGGTTCAATTCTGGTCAAGGGCATGTACCTAGGTTGTGGTTCGGTTCAGACCCCAGCCCTGGTCAGGGTCATGTGAGAGGGAACCATTCAATGTGTCTCTCTCCCTCACACTCTATCCAAAGATATATGGAAAAATATCCTCGGGTGAGGATCTAATAAAAACCAAAAAACAAAGAACATTTAAAAATAAAATACAGCTACTTTCCAAAACAGAAAAATAACTTAGTGAAGAAGTAGCAATGGTCTATGATTCCGGAAATCTCTAATGTTTGCCTTAATAGGAAATGGAACAATTCTCAAATGTGCTCCTACATGTAATCTAATCTGCTAAGATATTACTGTTTTGGTTGAAGAACATTTTAAAAAATGTGGCCACACAGAGAGATATGTAGTTTGAAAGCGTATTTTAAAGGTCTTTTCAGATGACTATGGATACTACTTTTTAACACTGTACCAAAAATTGGCAAGCAGGCATTTCTTAAAGGTTAGTTGCAAAGTGAAATCTGATACCATTTCAATAATTTTTTTGTACTCTATTAAAAATCATTCATCTATTTTACATTTGGGTGTATTAAAAACATTTTATGAATCTTTTAGGCATATATGCCATCCACTATAACATCATAAGCTGGTCTCATTTAGAAAACACTGAACTGGGCAAATTTTTATAATTACTACTATCACATTCGTTATTACTACCACTAATCTCATCAGAAAAGTCTGACTACTGAGAATATATTAACCTCACAGTGAGAGATTCTCATTTTCCAAAATTCTAATTTTTCTTTGAAAGGTCAAATTTTAAAGTGGTAAAAAAGTCATCTGAAAAGACCTTTAAAATACGCTTTCAAACTACATATCTCTCTGTGTGGCCACAAGTCTTGGTTTTCTTTGAAAGACATGCTATCATTTTTAAGAAACTGCCAAACATCCAAGTCTGAAAAAACCACAGTTTGTCTGTCATTCTTTCAACTAAAAATGACATTCCATTAAAAGAGAGAGGTTTGGAACTCAATTTCAAAAAAGTTTTTCCTTGAGAAAGCCATCCATACTTTAATAGCAAGCAGTAGGACTTATGCACACTTCCCATTTCATCAAGCAGACATGTACATGTAGTCAAGATTTAGTAAAGCTAATTTTTATTGCTTCATCAAGGAAATTCGTAAGTGACAGTGGCTTAGAAAAAAAAGCTGCAAATGCCTGGAGATGAAGATGCTAAGGCACCAGCACTCTCAATTACAACTGCTTTGACATCATCAATCCAAATGTCAATACAGTGGAAAAAATAAATAACACCTTAAGATTTAATGGAAATAGTCTTGACCTTATGGAACCCTCAAAGAGCTCTGGTAGATTTGAGAACATTAAAACTTCTCAATAATCTTATTACTTTCTGGGTTTTGATATTTATACCATGTAATCTTTCTCTGAGAAAATGTTTTGTAATATGACAAATCAAATCATTCAACATTGTCAAGAGCACTCCAAAATAAAAGTTTTTAATTGAAACTCTCAAATGGTTCTGTTTTTCAAATCCAGTCTACAGTAATTCAAATATACTGAATTCTCATTACTACTAGCCAAAATTTTATTCACTGGGCAGTAAATAGTCAACTTGTGCCAAAAAACTAGCATATCTTTTACAGGTAAATGCAATAAATAAAAACATAAGCTACAAAAGTTTCTCTTAAAACCAATCTTTGAAGTTGAAAAACCAAACAAAAAATTGTAAGTAAAAAAACAGTAAGTAAAAGATTCACTACACCTGATATACTCACTTTCTGTTTATGCTGCTGCAAGAGGTTGTCAAGATTGTGTCTCCTTTTATAGTTAAAATAGAAGTTTTTACATTGAGCCTCACTTTTAGTTCCAACCATTTTGGCAATTGCTGCCCAGTTACGACCATGCTCTACTAGACCTGTGTGTTAATGAACAGACCAAATGTTAATGAACAGCAACCTGATAAAACAAACAAAAGAAATAATAAAATCAATTTAATTACTGTATTCATAGTCATTAACACTAGAAGTGTTTTCAATTATTCACTGATATACTTCAATGCTTACTAAAATATGTACTGACACAAAACTCACTAACAGCTCTATTTTTCCACCCCAATTTAAAACATGCTCATAAAACCCTGGCTGGGTAGTTCAGCTGGTTAGAGCGTTGTCCTGATGTGCCAAGGTTAGGGGTTACATCCCTCATCAGGGCACATACAGGGAACACTGACTGCATAAATAAGTGGAACAACAATAAAACAAAACAAACAAACAAATATGCGCATTAATGAAAGGATTCAACTTTATCTTTATGTATCTCCCAGAGGGCTAGGACATTGCTGGACACACAGTAAGAGTTCAAACACTTGTACACTGACTGATAAGGTACTTCTAAATCTTTGAAAAACAGTTTATCAATATAGAGTTAATAATGTAGTCAAATATAAATGATTAACATAAAGATATATATACAGGGCAGGGCAAAAGGTTTATAGTTGTTTGTATGGAAAATAATACAGTTAATAAATAATAATGCAAGGCTAAATTCTATGTTTTGCATACTCACAACTGTAAATCTACTTTTGCCCAACCCTGTATGTATGTATATATGAGATTCCATAGATAATCAGCATGTCTTCAGTCCATTCACAATCAAGAAATGACATTTTGATGATCAGATGAGAATAAATGTGAATCTTTTAAAAAGTTATTGATGGAATCATGACAAATCACAAATTTTTCTAACCATGGCAAACTTCAAATAAAAGAACACTTTAAACTGCTGTGTTTTAGGTAAAGTTGGTTTTATGATTCTTTTTTTTTTTTTAATCCTCACCCGAGGACACTTTTCCATTTTTTGTTCAGATAGAGCGGGAGGGAGAGAGAGGAAGAGAGAGAGAGAGAGAAACATCGACGTGGAAGGTACACATCGAGTGGCTGCCACCTGCACGACCAACCAGGGCCAGGGACAAACTGCAACCAAGGTACGTGCCCTTAGCGGGAACCAAACCTGGGTCTCTCTAGACCGCAGGCCGATGCTCTAACCGCTGAGCCAAACCGGCCAGGGCGGTTTTATGATTCTTAAATGTATCACTCATGCCCTGGCCAGTCTGGCTCAGTGGTTGGAGTGTCGGCCTGTGGTCCGGAGAGACATGGGTTCAGTTCCCGCTAGGGGCATGTACCTCGGTTGCAGTTTGTCCTCGGCCCTGGTTGGGTCATGTGGGTGGCAACCACTCGATGTGTCCCTTTCACATCGATGTTTCTCTCTCTCTCTCTCTCTCTTCCTCTCTCTCCCTCTTCTTCTTGCTCCCTCCCACTCTATCTGAACAAAATATCAAAAAATGTCCTCAGGTGAGGATTAAAAAAAAATGTATCACTCATTACCTGCTAAATAGAAGGTAAGTCTGAAATGTGTCACTAAAAGTTAAGCTATTTACAATAACTTCTCTCTAGAACTACAAAGTAAATAATTAACTCCCCAAAAAGTCAGTTCATCTCTCAAAAAATTATTTTATTTAAAAAGTTATTTATTTATAAAACAATTATTTATCCTATTAGGAATTTCAGTTCAATTTTATATCACATTAATAAGCAACAATAAAAAATGTAAGATCCATAAATGTTCCAGAGTAAGATCAAGGTCACACAGCTATGAAAGTGGCAGACAGGACCCAAACTTCTGTCTGGCCACAAAGTTCATGCTCTCTTCTCTGAACTGCAGTGCAATTTCTTAGTAGTTTTATTCTTTTGTTCATTAATAGTTTATAATCAAATGCCTTACCAAATAAAAACTAAGAAAATATTTACCATTCTAATCAGTGCAACTTTTAAATAACAGAAATACAGACTTTTCATATAAAAATACCTTCCAAAACAACTTTAACACCATTTAATCACAACTATCCTGGTAGAGTGAAAATAGCCTACTTGCTCTGTAAGAAAATGAGAACTTTAAATCCCTCAAAAGTAAGCCTCTTCAACAAAGCACACTTGGGGCACCTTATAAGGTACCAAATGGTAAAAAAACAAAACAAAAAACCTTGTAAATGCACTTCTAAATTCTATTTATCATACAAAAGAATTTTTTTAAATTAAAAAGTTAGCTCTATCTCATCTCACTCATTATTAATAGTCCTAAAAACAAAACTAAAGAATCTGAATTATCATTTACCTTTTTTAGCAACTTCCATTTCTTCTTCTGTCCATCGAGAGGTTTCCACAGGCTCTGTAGAAACTAAAATAGAGATAACCCAGTAAGGTAGAGAAAAATTAAGCTAAATCCTTCATAGATTATATGGCACCAAACATATAACATTTGGAACCATAAAGCCCACTTAAAGCATTTGGTGAGCCGGGTCGATGTGGCTCAGTGGTTGAGCATCACCCATGCACCAAGAGGTCACCAGTTCAATTCCCAGTCAGGGCACATGCCCAGGTTGTGGACCAAATCCCCAGTGGGGGGCATGCAGGAGGTGGCCAATTGATGTTCTCTCTCATCGATGTTTCTATTTCTCTCTCCCTCTTCCTTCCTTCCTCTCTCTCTAAAACCAATTTAAAAAAAAAAAATGCATTTGGTGAAAGAAACTACAGAAATAGGATGGTATCAGCCTCTTCCCACACCAAACAGGAAAATGCTATATCTCTGTGATCTTTCTCAATGTTTTTTTATAGTTCCATCTACACGCTTGATTTACATCATTAGTTTATTTTCCAACAAGTCCCACTTCACCCAGTGCCTTGCCTTCCCAATTACTGGAGTTCTATCCTTCCTCTCCTAAAATGTCAAAAGAAGCAGCAATATTGCAACTTCTGGTCCAGGCACAGTTCTCTCTCATTCTGATTCCCCCATCTCCTCCTAACTCATGGAGGTTCTTATGTTCATCCTCCATGTCTGACATCTAGTAAACATAGATGACAAACTGAACACTTTGTCTCTTACTTTAGAAAGAAAATTGAGACTATCAGGCCTGAGAATGAGCTCCTGCTGTATTCCCCTTCTCAATTAATAGTACATACTACCATCCACCCAGTCACTTGAATTAGTAACAGGATCCTCAGATTTGTAATTTTTGAATCCTTCCTCCCATTTACCACTCACATCTAATCTCTTGAATTTACCCCTTCTTGCCTGGACCACTGCACGCACAACGTTGCCCTTCTAGCTGGTCTCTCTTCTTCCAACCCTTCTTCTCTCTAACCTAACCTCCACAACTGTCATTAGAGTTATCTAAACATCAATCTAATCAAAGCACTCCTCTATTTAAAAACCTCTGGCCCTGGCAAGTTTGGTTCAGCGGTTAGAGCATCAATCCACGGACCAAAGAGTACCAGGTTCGATTTCGGTCAAGGGCGTGTACCTCAGTTGTGGTTTGGTCCCCGACCCTGGTCAGGGTCATGTGGGAGGCAACCAAGGGATGTGTCTCTCTCACATCAATGTCTCTCTCCCACTCCCTCCATCCCTCTCTTCCACTCTGTCCGAAGATAAATGAAAAAATATCCTCAGGTGAGGATTTAAAAAAAAAACAAAAAACCCCACCTTGTAAGCAAAGCAGAATATAGTTCAAACAAGGCCCACCGTGAGCTGCCCCCATCTGCTTGTCTAGTTACTTCCCTTAAAGTCTTTTTGCCATTTCCAGAACTCAGGTTTTCTTTCATACTTAATCTTATAGTAAAATTGGTACCACTGAACCATCAATGTTGGTACTCATCATTACCATAATCCTTTATAAAATAATGAGACAATGCTTTATAACAGAAAGAAAAATGCTTGGACTCTTAGACCCAATATTCCCTTGTCTAAAAATGTATCCGTATAAATAAAAAATAATTTAACAAAAGAAAATGCTATGTGAGTATTTTTTTAAAAATTAGAGTGCTGCCCTGGCCGGTTGGCAAGTGGTTAGAGCATCACCTGCAGACCAATGAGTTGCAGGTTTGATTCCAATCCAGGGCACGTACCTTGGTTGTGGTACATTAATGGCCCTGGTCGGGTCATGAGGGAGGCAACTAGTCGATGTGGCTCTATCATACTGGTGTTTTTGTCTCTCTCTCCCTCCTTCCCACTCTATGATAATAAATAGAAAAGTATCTTTGGGTGAGGAATAAAAAAAAATTCCAGTGCTATTTATATTAGTTTAAAAGGAGGGCAGGGGATAGCCTCATCATTCAGCAATAGGGAATGGGTCAGGAAATTGTGCCTCAGGGAACAGCACAACGCCAACATTTCACAACCATCAAAAGTAAAACTGGCCCTGGCTGGTTTGGCTCAGCGGTTGGAGCATTGGCTTGCGGTCTAGAGAGACCGGGTTCGGTTCCCACTAAGGGCACGTACCTCAGTTCCGGTTTGTCCCCGGCCCTGGATGGGTCATGCGGGTGGCAACCACTCGATGTGTCCCTTTCACATTGATGTTTCTCTTTCTCCCTCCCACTCTATCTGAACAAAAAAGGAAAAATGTGCTCGGGTGAGGATAAAAAAAATGTAAAACTGAAGATTGCTTAGAAACTAGAAAACATTCATAATATATGCAAAGTTAAAATATCAGAAAACATGCCCGGCCAGTGTGGCTCAGTGGATTGAGCATCATCCCATGGACTGAGAAATCCTGGTTCGATTCCTGGTCAGGGCATATCCCAGTTGTAGGTTTGATCCCCACGGTGTTTCTCATGTCATTGTTTCTCTCTCTCTCTCTCTCTCTCCCCCTTTCCTTCCTCTCTCTCTAAAATATCAATAAAAACATATTTAAATAAAATATCAGAAAACAAAGTAGCATGTACACTAGGATTCTAAGTAAGTAAAAAAAAAACAAAACAAAAAAACAGTTGTATTAGGTAGCAAAATTGGGGCTGTTGCTCTTTTACAAAAGACTTGCACATAAAAGTTTGAAAAATGTAAAAGCCAGACTTGAAGATTACTCCTAGGTTGTCAATATCAGAGGTCCCACTGCCCCACCCTAGGGATGAAACATAATCCCAAACAAAAGCATGGCCTGTCCACTCCATCACCCACTCACTGGGTTCAGGGGGTGGTGGCAGAGGTGGAGGGGGCTCCTCGGTGGCTGCTGCAGCTGCAGCACTGGCAGCAGCGGCTTCATTTGTCATGGACCTGGTAATCCGGCCCTTCCGGCGGCCCTGACTATTGGCGGTCTTTCGTCCCCGGGGTATGGCCTGCTCTCTCTCCTCAGTTTCTTCTGTTGTACTTTCTGTCTTGTCCTTTTCCTTGGTATTGTCTCTGGAAACAAAAGTAAATGAAAATTTGTGTTATTTAAAGTATACATATATCAAAGAAGGCAGCTTTGAAATTCTTTAAATAGAAATTGAATAAAACAAATTGATCCCTTAGTTACTAAAACAAAATTTATGAAAAATTCTGTCAGGCCCTAATTTTGAGTTGTTTTGACTGTTTCAAATTAAGATATTTCACAGAGGCATGTCTTTTTTTTTTTTTTTTTTGTACGTGCCCTTGGCGGGAACCAAACCCTGGACTCTCTGGACCACAGGCCGATGCTCCAACCACTGAGCCAAACTGGCCAGGCCAGGGTAAGGCTTGTCTTATTTGTTAATAGACTTGAAATTTAAACACATTTCAAATCAGCTAAGATACAAGAACACTCTCTCTGAGGAAGTATGAATGGCAGCCAAAAACAACCCTCTAGACCTGCAATCCAGAGGCAGTAGGGTACACCAAAAAGCAGGAGTCCTGGATCTTTGGCCTTTGCTCCGACCTAAGTTTTCTCCTTTGTGAAATGAAGAAGCTGAAACAGACACTCTCCATGACAGATACTCTTTCTGCAATAATAATCTATAATATTATTTTTATTGAAGCAGGCTTAATATTCCCAACCACCTCCAGTACAGTTATGTGCAAACAGGCAGTCTGGCCTAGTCATTAGGAAAATGGCTCTGAAACCAGGCTGCCTGGGTTTGTACAGAGCTCTATGGGATGAGTAGCCCTGTGATGTAATGACCTCAGACAAGCAATCTTACCACCATGGACCTCAGTTTTTCTTATGTTTAAAATGAGGGTAATAATAGTGTATTTCATAGGGCTGTTGTGAGAATTAAAGAAGTTAATTTACATAAAATGCTTAGAACAGTGCCTGGAACATAGTAAGTGCTGTAGGTATTTGCTACTATTGAAGCTATCTAACCCTCCTTCAGGCTATGAACTGCTTATCATAGTCTCAGGCACTTAGGAAAAACTCAGTAAGCAGTCATTACTATTAATAGCAATAATACTACATGTAATACTGGAAAACCATTCTCTGAACTATTTATCTCCTGGAGTTGTTACAATTAAAAACAAGGTGCTTAGATTTATCAATGAGAGCACTGCATGGGTTATATAAATGTCTAATCACTGGGTTGTACACCTGAAACTAATATAATATTGTATGTCAAATACTACTGTACATCAAATGTAACTGAAAAATAAAAATTACTTTTTAAAAAATGAACAAATAGATGGCAATATTCAAACACTCAACTATTCTTGTGTCATATAGAAAGTATTTTTTTGATTTTTAAAAATTTTACCTACTTCAAGTAAAGACCTATTGTGACTTAGCAAGTAAGTTACCCCCCAACCCTGCAAATGCGTCAAGAATAATTCTTTCCCCTTCAGTTCTAAATTACCCTTGAAATTATCATGTAGCTCTCTCCCTTCATTTCATTCCCTTACCAATCTGGCTACTACTACAGCCTTCTATTAGAGGTTTTGTCGAAAGTCACCAATGGTCCAACCGGTATAGCTCAGTGGTTGAGCGTCGACCCATGCACCAAGAGGTTGCCTGTTTGATTCCCGGTCAGGGCACATGCCCAGGTTGTGGGCCCATTCCCCAGTGCAGGAGGCAGCCAATCGATGTTTCTCTCTCTCCCTCCTTCCCTCTCTCTCTAAAATCAATAAAGAAAAAAAATTTTTAAAAAAAGTCACCAATGACTTAAAAACTGCAAAAATCAAATTACCTTTTCTCGATTCTCATCACATTACTCTTTCTGCTACAACTGACACTGTGGACAATTCTTTTTATAGCCTTTTCAACTTTCCTTACTCCTCACCTGAGGATATCCTATTTATCATTAGCTAGAATGGGAGGGAGGGAGAGAGAGAGACAGAGAGAAACATCAATGTGATAGAACCACATTGACTGGTTGCCTCCTGTGTGACCCGACCAGGGCCAGGTCGAACTGAAACCTAGGTACATGCTCTTGACTGGAATTGAACCCGCTATTCATTGGTCCATGGGGCCAGCACTCTAAATGCTGAGCCAAACCGGCCAGGGCTCAACTTTGCTTTTAGAACTTCACACTTTCCTAATATCCCTACTATTAATTCTAGGTCTCTTTCTGGGGACTGCCTTTCCCCCCCCTCATCCTTTAATATAGGGATTTTCCAGTTTGATTCTGGTCTTAAAGTTCTGTGGGGTTACCCATTTGCATCAATTCTAATAGACTCATCTCCTAAATCTAATACCTAGACTCATTTTCCCAATTACCTGCTGGAATAACCACCGGAACATCCCATCAACATCCAAAAACATGCTCATCCTCAACAACCTGCTTCTTGCTCCACCTCACTCACTAGTCATTTGTTAACAAGTGCCACCATGCTCATAATCACTCAGGTTTAGATTCAACATCATCTTTAGCTCTTTCCCTTTTTTTTTTTTTTACTTCCTATATGTAATCTAATGCTGTATTTTGTTGTTTCATCTCAGTAATATTTCTCCCACTAATTCACCATCCCTATTTCTACTATCACTATATTTATTCAGTCCCTTAGTACCCCAACCACAGTCTTTTATAAAAGCCTCCTTGACTCTTATATCTCTAATCCATCCATTCCATATTGCTAACACAGCAATATTCTGCCAGAATAACTTTGGTAATAAACTATTCCATCCATTCTAACCCTTGCCTGTTCCCACACAGCCTCCTGAATGAAGTCTACATTTTAGCTTTCATTAAGTCTTTATTAAATCTAACTATAATCCATTTTCACTTTTCTTTTTCAGGCACCCTATGTTCCGATCTAATGAAACCATTACCTGCCATTTCTCAAAGCAGCATAACTACTCATGTCATTCCCTTATGAGTATCTAACACTTAAAAAACACGTCAAGTGATTTAGGTTGATATAGTCGCCACAAAACTATATAAATCTTCAGTATTTACAAGAGGATTATAGAAATAATACAATAAATATTTAAAAGGAACAAACTACTGATATGTGCATTATGACCTCAAAGGCATTATGCTAAGGAAAAAGAAGCCACACGTGGATTATATACTACATGATTCAGTTCATATGAAATTCTAGAAAAAGCAAAACAGATTAACAGTTGCTAGAGGCCAGAAAAGGGGGGAGAGAAACTACGCAAAAGAGCATATGGGAACTTTTTGGGATGATGAAAACGTTCTATGTTACATTTGAGGCAATGATTATACACACCTGTCAAAATGCATAAACATATACACCTAAAATTGGTGAACTTTACTCTATATAAATAATGCTTCAATAAAGCTGATCCCGGGGGAGACACAATCAGCGCAGGTGCTAAGCCCCTCACACCACCCTGACACAAGATATACAGAAAGAAATCAACAGTAGCAGTCTCTGAGTGGCAGAATTACAGGTTGATTTTCTTTGTATTTTGCTCTCTTTTCCTAATTTTCTATAATGAGCAAGAATTACTTTCATAACCAAGAAAACAGCAACAACAACCAGAAACAAACCAGGAGCTCTATTTTATATGATAAATAAAATCAATAGCCCTGGCCGGTTTGACTCAGCGGTTGGAGCATCGCCCTGTGGACCAGAGAATCCTGGGTTCGGTTCCCGCTAGGGGCGTGTACCAAAAAAAAAAAAAAAAAAAAAATCAATAAAGCTGGAATATAGGTATTATATAAATGAAAAACATTTATCAGTATTTTTACATTAATGTATATTATCTGAGGTTAAGAAAAAAAAGATCCTGAGGTATCTTCCAAATCAAGGTTAAATTATATTTCATATATCTCAGTGATAAGTATTTACTATTATAGCCTACTCCTTCTGAAGCAATACATCATGCCTGGCAAATAAATCCATTAAAGCAAAGTTATATTTATTGAAATATTCCATTCCTTCATTATGTCAAATAACTATTAAATGGTTAAAGCATCACATTGATTCTTTTATCTCAAGTTTTGTACCTTCAAAAAATTCAATTATATTATTTAAAAATAACTAGAATATTTAACTAAAGTTATTTTTAACTCTAGTTGTTTTACTTACTTAGAGTCCTCCTTTTCATCCTTTTCTTCTTCATCTTTTTTTTCCTCTTCTTTCTTTTCTGCTTTTTCTTCTTCTTTTTCTTCTACTTTTTCTTCTTGTGATGGTCGGGCAATTTGCTGCTAGAATAAACCATCATTTATAAAATTCAAAAGTAAAAGAACTAGTTACCCAAATTCTGATGATTAATTTTAATAAATATCAATAAATAACATATTAATCACTTACAATGTAATTAGTAGTCATGTATTAAAAATAAGTCTAATGCTCTTTAATATATTCTATATATATATTGCTTACAAGGTCACACATACATATACACACACACACAAATGCCCACAGTGTTTGAACCCATCAAAGAGGTAAAAATGTTAAGATTCCACTTAGAAATCTGAGGTTGGTTCTCTCTTTTTGTAACTCCTACATCTAATCTATCACTCAAGTATTTCAACTCTACCTTAAAATTTGATAACCTATAATTTATCAAACCATCCCCCTAGTATTTGATATTTACTATGTTCTCAATTTTTTCATCAGTATAGATAATACTACAAGAGTAAAAACACTTTCATGTTTCTAAATAAAACATATGTAGAGAAGATTCATTTAATGAAATTAGTAGATAGTCATTTATCAAGACTGAAGTAATTTGTAAAAATACTAAGGATATAATAAAGTGAAAAGAAGTAAAGCACAAATATTTCTAGGCTGTAATTACAACCATGAAATTGTAAATATGTATATGAACAAAGACTGAAAGAGAGTAAGATTATGGACCCTTTTATCTTCGGTGTCTCACTTACTAAAATTATGACCCTAAAAAAGTAAATTTAAGTTTGTATTATTATTTTTATTTAATTCAAAAATCAAGATTGTCTAAACTAATTATAATGGAACTCCAACTCCTCATCATGCACACAGACTGTGTCTCATGTGTACCTCTCCAATACCCTGCTGTCCTATAGTGTGTGTTGCCCTGGATTCACACAACACATGTACCATGTTCATGTCTTTGCCTGGAACACCCTTTCCACCTTTCCTTGCCTAGAAAACTCCTACATATACAATGAGATTCAGTTCAAAATGCTACATCTCCTATCAGATGTTTGGATTTCCACAGACGCTGCAGGCCCTATCTCCCTATCTTTACACCTGCGTGCATGTCCACATGCACTTATAGCACTTATCACATGGTGGTATAGCATCTGGTTATCAGGGTCTGTCTGGTTCACTTTGTTATAATCTCATAAAGGACAAGTGAGGCAGGATAATAAAAAGCTAGGAAAAATAGGTCCAGAAGCATGGAGGCAAGGAACAAACTGACAAATCTCAGAAGGGGAGAGGTGGGGGGAAGATGGAAAGAGATTAACTGAAGAACTTACATACTTAAATGCATAGCACAAAGATCAAGACAATAGTGTAGTGAAGGCTTGGAGTACGGTAGGAGCTGGGTGGAAGGGGGCAGATGATGGGGGTGGTAATGAGGGACATCTGTAATATTGTCAACTATATATTATATATATGTAATTTTTTTTTCTTTTAAGCTAGGAAAATTCCTTGGTAAGTGGAATGAAGGAACTAAGACAAGATAATAAGACAAGGGCAAACAATTTACAGCCAGCAAGTGAATCACAAGACCTTCCTTACCTTTCCTAACCAAGGACACTTGAGAGCAAACGGTTTATTCCTCTCCTCCCTAACCAGAGAATAAATAACTTAAATCACCCTGGTCAGGAAGAGAGGTAACAGAGACCCAATTAGTGCCGTTTGTGCCAGACAAACCCAGGAATGGATGAAGTCGGGAATAAATAACAACAACAAAAATCAATTCAAGCCCTGGCCAGTTTGGCTCAGTGGTTGGAACATTGGCCTGCGTACTAGAGAGTCCCAGGTTCACTTACCACTAGGGGCACGTACCAAAACAAACAAACAAACAAACAAACAAACAATCAATTCGAGCCAGACAGACCCAAGATGAAAGTAAAGCAGTGAAGCTGACCAGAGAATGATCCCAAACACCCCTATCTGCTCATTCTGATGCATCAGCATATTAAAGAATGCACCCAGAAAGCTGATGAACACTCTGCTGAAACCCTCCCAAGATCTCCCTCCCCTACCAGCAAAAAAGAGAGGAAAAATCCTCAAGATGAAAGATGCCAGTATGCGCCCTCCTGGAACACACCCAACTCAAGGTGTACTTTTGCTTTGTCTTCTAAACATTAAGGGTCCCCATGAAACTTGCAGCCAGGGGAGCATGGGCAGTAGCAACTCATCCCATCCCAGGTTTACCCCGATTCTGTCTCCAAGACCCCCTATTCTCTGATTTTTCAGTAAGCCAACAGCTGCCCTGCCTTGCCTCACTTCTCACTGTGACTTTTACTTTTTAGTTCATGCAGCACGGCTCACTTCTTTCCTCTAACATTTCTAGAGAGCCAAAGCATCCCGGCCTAGGCTCTCTCCTGTCACTTCTTCTATGCTAAGCCCTTCTCTTGTTTGTTTCACTGTCCTCAGCTTTAATGAATGTACTCTCAGAATCACCTGAATTTGTATAATGAAATGTGCACCAAGTCAAGAATCCACACACTATAGGCTGGCCTGAGGCAGACCCGCTCCAGCTTAGTCCCTGTTCAATAATGCAAGGACCCAACCCTAATAGTCTAAGTACTGCCATTTCCTAGCAGAACACCTGGACCATAGAAATGTCTGCACTTGTTAGATATAGCAAAAACCAAATTCCTTTATTCTGGTTATTTGAAAAGTTTTTGCCCTCCCACCTCAATCTTTCATTCTGATCCAAGCTAATGTCAATCTTGCCTCAAAATAACTGCCTGTTCCTTTCACCAAGACATGAAGTATTCAGTTATTTGAAGTAAAATGTGCTTTAATTCTTAATAGCATCTCAAAGTCTTTTACATTCTTACCAAAAGTAAAATCTGACTTTTTCTTAAGAAAACGAAGGCCTTACTGACCACTCCACAATAGGTCCCACGTTATGCCTTCTTCAAACCATGGTGGAAAAACGAAGAACCTGTATTCTTATTGTTCTCTACTACCACTTCCAAAACATTGCTAAACTGTAATATTTTAAAAATACTTCTTCGGATTTACAAAATCTACCTATGATACCTTTCTTCCTCTTTTAGTGTTGCATACTACTCGAATGCTCCCATGCACACATGGTTGATTAGGCCTTGCCATTATTCTTCAGATTTTAAAATGCATATGTCGGAGAACTCACTGTAGATGAAATATGGCTCCAGTAGCAAATGTCTCTAGGAACTGTTGGACTCTGTTTAACTCTCTGTTAACTGTTTAAAACTCTCTGTAGCCTCAGGTTTGGCTGACTACCCAGAACACCAATGCAGGGAATGCAGCCCAAAGATAAACCGGGAAGGAGGTTAAAGGCTGTATAGAGTGTGATATCTGTCTGATGCTATCTGTTAACTTAGGGATGCACTTGTTCTTTCTGGTAGATTGTGACCACTCACCATATGGTTTTACTATTACCACCTATAAAAAGGGATCCTATTCTGGGAGAGGTGTGGATTCCTCCTGGCTGGCCACCAAGGCAGCACCTGCTTTGCCCTTATATATATATATATATATATATATATATATATATATAAGTTTCTCCTATTGAAGCTCTTATGAATCTGAATAAGGCTATGTGTCAGTTCTTCAGAAATGGTACTGAATTTAGATTTCTGGGTCTTTCCCTCAACAACATTTCAATGCCTTTGATCCCTTTATTCTAAGAAAATGTCACAGTCCATCAAGAACTCTATCTGCTATTCCACTTTGACCCCTGTCTAAAATGTTTCAATAGCATGATTCCCTCATTTGCTTTATGTGACCTTCCCAATTCCTCACCCTGGCTAACTGCCAGTTTCCTTTCCTTCTGGTATTTATTATTATTATTAGAGGAAAAAATAACAACAACTAAGAAATCAGGAAGATTTTTCAAATGTATACTTTCCCACTATGATTAGGTCTGCTTTACAACTGGGGATGTTTTGTTCATCTCTGACTGACTCCTATCATACCATAGTGGTCACAAGACCTATTTCAAAAACTAATAACCTCATCCATACCATAAATGCAGCATCCATCTGTCACTGTGAACCCAAGAAGATAGGATCCCTACAACAAACTCTGACCTTTGTCTAACAAGTAGGCTGTGTAACCCAAACAAATGGTTTATAGCCCTAGAAATAATGGGAAGGTGTTAACTAAGCAGAAGCTAAGTAAAGAGGTTCACTGTTCCCTTAGACTTATTTCACTAGTATTTTTCTCCCAATGAGAACCATAGTCTTGAAGAAAGTAAGCAATTCCACACATTCCCTGCTGCATGAAATCCAGCAAATTTGACTCCACCTTCTAGAGTACTGGGAACTGAGAAGCAATTGTAGCACCTGCTTCAACTAGTCAATGGGTAAAAGAACAGGATTCCTTTTGAAACACAGCTCCCAGTTCTGCAGAGGGTGCAGAAACAATCCAAAGAAACTGAGGAAGTTGCTGGATAAAGTCTATAGAAGTGTGTGACACCTGCGAAGTAGAATCTCTTACACTCCCATCCAGGTGCACCCACATTGACTAGGTAGCAGCAAGGAGAAAGAGAGGCCAGACAGTGCAGCTAGCACTTACCTTTGGGTGATAAGTACCAAGACACACTGTGATGACTACCACTGACATTATAGAGAGTAAGCAATAAGCTCTGGATTTGTAATACAGTGGAACCTCACTTCTCAAACTTAATTCATTCCAGAAGGCTGTTCAAGAAGCAATTTGTTTGAAAACCAAATCATTTTTTCCCATTAGAAATAATGTAAATTGCCCTGGCCGGTTTTTCTCAGTGGTTAGAGCGTCAGCCTGCAGTCCAGAGAGACCCGGGTTGGTTTCCCACTGAGGGCATGTACCTCGGTTGCAATTTGTCCCCAACCCCGGTTTGGTTGTGCGGGAGGCAGCCACTCGATGTGTCTCTTTCACGTTGATGGTTCTCTCTCTCTCTCTTACTCTCTCTCCCTCCAACTCTATCTAAACAAAAAATGGAAAAATGTTCTCGGGTGAGGATAAAAAAAAAAAAAATAACGTAAACTGAATTAATTCATTCCAGACTCCCAAA